TTTTTTTTTCAAAATTTATTACATTCTATAATTTCTGCATATTTTTTTAAATTTTAGAGGATTCGAAAGTTACCAGAGAAAATTAATCACTTAAATTAGATTTAAAAATACATTGTAATACCTATGGTTTAAGAGAATTGTACTACTTACGTTCACGCTTTGCAAAGATATGGTCGTTTGAATCAACATTTGTCTATATCACAAACTTTTACCGCCCATTATTAATGTAGAAAAATGTAACACTTATGTTACCAATAATTGACTTGCATTAACTACATAATTCAACTCTAAACATAGGTCGCAATTAAAAATGATACAATAGTTGAATGAATTGTTAATGGAAATTTACACAATAAATTTGACTAACAAATAACATATGAAATAGAGATTTTTTTTAAATTAAAACAGCTTGGAATGACCTTCCAGAAAACAAGTTTCTTAAAAACAGAATCTGATTGTGACACTCTTGTCTTTTTGAGATCCGAGTATCAGGAAATAATCCGGCCGACCAGCACACTTCATGCTTTTTGCTTAGGTCACACTAATAGTTTGTTTCAAGAGACAAAAATATACCATATTCAAATAATATGGCTACTTTAATTTCTGATATCGTACAGAAGTATCCCGCAAGCTTCAACGGACAGACGATATTTTATTTTTTCATTTAATATGACTTTTGTTGGCAGAAAATTCTTCGGCTTGTCCTCTAGATCTACGTTGATCAACAATTACAACATTGAAGATGTGATGATGGTGATTGTTGCTTTCCGGTTTCGCGAGGCATTTCCCTGGGATAAACCAACGCAAATTCTCTCGGCCGGTATAGACAGATTTTCCACCGCGTGGCCTGGAAACCGTCGCGCTAAGCTAGCGACATACGGTTTTGGCCGAAATCGGATGACCATTATGAATTCTTCAGCGTCACCACTCCGAGAGTGGGATCGCCGCCAGGACACCTGCGGGACCTGGCCGGCAGCCAACGACGTTTAACTTGGTGGCCGACGGAGTTCTATAAAGGAAACCAACAGAAGCAGAAGACTACGGCCGTCTCTAGCATAACTCTTTGGCCGGGGATTCTTGTTCCAACTTCCAACTGTCTTGGTGCCATTAACAACGCTCGCTGCCTACACCTCCCTGACACAGTCGGATGACGTCGCAACCGAGATACGATTTCCGTGGGTTGAGGTTGTTTTGTGATTGACAGGATAAATGATAGAGTAGTGTCGAACTATAGTAAAACTGATTGGAGCATTTTTGCAGTGGTTAACTTTATCTGCGTTTCAGGTCATCTGAAGCCACGTCGTTTGATGAATACTCAATATCGGGAGTGATAATTTTGAAAAATAAATGAAGGTACAAGCTGGATGAAGATGTGTGTACTGTCACAAATTATTGAAGGGCGTTGCGTTTAAAATGCTATTAAGTATAATGAAATATCCTTTAAAATATTATATTTCATATCCATGAGGTTCTTAATAAAAATAGTAAACATTGTTTTTGTCATACATTTCTATTATTTGATTATTATTATTATTATTATTATTATTATTAAAGCTATTCTTAATAGAAAAACCGTAATTAGTAGCAGAGTTGGTAATAACATTTGGATTGATTTAGAATTTGGATAGGAACACTATTTCCCCGTTTGACACTGTTCACTTCGTGGATTGGAACAAAATTTGCATTAATATTATCACTGCGCCTTGAAGAAGAGGTTGCGCCTTCAGCTGGCACATAATGACTGACCTGATTTTGTTGATTGTTATTTTGCTTTTGTGGCTGCATACGTGTAGCCTTCCTTGGATAGACTGGAGGTGCTGTTTGATGAAACATCTGCGCATGTTGTGAGAAGTAACGCTGGTGTGTATGGAGCAGGACAATCACGGCCGTCTCCTTCCATGACCTCCACTCGGCCGTCGGTTGGATAAACCAGGGCTAAGGCTTCGGCTATGCTCTGGCTCAGGCCAGCGTTGTTGAATGATGATGTAGAGTTAATCACGTATTAAAACACTGCACTTTAGATTGAAGTTGCGCACTGTGTAGACTTCTACTGTTGGCTTATGCACCTTACGCTACGAAATGTAAACTACAACTGAGAGTAGCGCTGCACTCGGCGCACAGGTCGACTGCTCGGGGCGGAATGTCCAAAATTGATATTACCCAATGGATGGAAATGAACTCGAGGCCCTCTGGGTTTAAAATGGATATTTTGATTTTGGAGGTACTTTATATAAGTCCCGAAATTTTCAAAATTTTCTCGAAAAGAAGTCTAAACTTTTTGTTCTCAAAAATGACATTTAAGGGGTGTGCAGGTGTGATTTTCGTTGAAATCCCTGATTTTCCAAAAACCCAAAGGTTTATTTTTTGTCGTCTTCCTAGAAGTACAGTATTGAAGACAGATGTATGAGATCTTGAAATAACGTCATGTGCAATAGTTTTAACAATGAATTTTTTGCGTAATAGTATACAAGATAGTATACAAGAAATATAGGCAATTTTTAATTTTTCAAAACTTTTTTCTCAAAATATGTTCTAAACATATTTCTTTAACTTTCTATTTTTATGTATCAAATGGCGGTAAAAATGTGGAACTAGTCTCATTTCTGGCAAATTCTCTGTATTTTGGATCAATGCAACATTTTAACAATAAAAATAACAAATTTCTACATAACGATGTTTGCTATAAACAAAATCTGTTGTAGAAAACCAGCTCTTTGAAATAGGTAATTTTCAACTCTTTTGAAAAACTAGTAGTTTTTGCATACTTTATTCTTGAAATTTATGCAATTACAAAACTAATTTCTCAGAAACCGCCCCAAATTGTTTCTTCAATTGTTTTCATGGATAGACCAAGGAACGCTTAAAAGAAGGCCTAGGTCTCATTTTCTTTGAACTTCTAGAACTTTTCGAAAATTGCAAATTTCTAAATAATACGAGAGAGTATTGCTATTGAGCTCTACTATTCCTATTATATTCATAGTTTATTTCTCACCACATTAACCAACTTACTTTCATATCTTTAAACATTTCCAACAATTAACATTTTTCTCTCATAGTTCTTCACATTACAAAATGTAAGTTCTAAATACACTATCTCCCCCCTAATATCTTCTTAAAAACGACTTTATTGTATGTCTCCATACTTCTCTCTTCAGCGTCGTGTAAAGTGTCTCCCAAAGCCTTAGTCAAAACACAGTTGGCTTGAGGATGATTTTTCTTTAATATTGAATCTCCTTGTTGCTTCCTTTGAATGAAAGCGGAACTATATGAATCCTTTCCTCCAATCAATAGGTGTGTGTGTGTGTTTTAATCACCATTTTGCCCAATACGATTCCTAACCCAACTTCACGTCCATAAACGGAATTTAAAAGAAATACCAAACATTTCGACTCCCTCGCCATTTCTTTAAATTACTCCTCTAATCTTCTTTTTAATCGCCGATACAAGTGGCATTCGCTACTCTCTCATTTATTTTCTCATCCTCCCCGACCGTCGCGTACCAATTGCAGGTGGGGTGAACGACTGCCCCCGCCGTAGTTTTTTGCAACATACAGGAGTCCAAACAACTACAACCAATCACCCCCATAACTTCTAAACATTCCCGATATCGAGATGTAGTTTTCGCTCAACAATGAGGAATTATGGGGCAAGTAATGTACCGTAGAGATATTGTTCGAAATAGTTTTAGTTTCCAAGAAATGTAATAATCTTTAATTTTTTAAATTGAACCGTGAATTAATCTCACTAACAATAGATAGATCATAAATATACGAATGCAATGATGTAACATATGTTAATGTTTTCATAGTATTTTGAGTATAAAATTATACTTTCCGTCATGTGATTTTAAATTAAATATTATACAAGATTTCCTGCAGCAAACCTTTTACCTCTCTCCTTGGGGAAGGTTGTCTTGCGGAGTCGGCTCTTTTACAGGAAGAGTGGAGAGGCTGCGAAGGTCACGTTCGCCAAAGGTGACAGTTGCGACGGCAGCTACAGAACAAATTGCACGTTTAATTTAATATCTGAGGTCAGAAAGTAAAATTTTATGCACAAAATACTATCAAAATATTAACACATATTACATCATTGACTTCCTCTTTTCATGATCTAGCTATTGCTAGTGAGAAAAAATATGTTTCCATTTTAAAAACCAAAGAAGCTTCACAGCTCAGGACTTAACTAACGTCATGCGACTAGGGAGACCGAAGCTTCGATTTTCACATGTGCCCTTTCAGATAAGTCTGTTTTTGCTACTCCAGGACCCCATTTTCCACACATATCATAAAAGCATTTTGCTACTGCAGACCACTAGTAAAGTTAATGTGTTAATAATTATTATTGAAATGTTGTTCATAGGAGGTTGGCGGGGTAAATAAGACACTGCCTGTGTGTTCATATTTCTAAAAGAGTTATTTAGACATCACGAACCTTCTTTATTTGAATAGTCAGCCCCTTACATTCCGAAGAGTTGGGGAACTAACCTAGTTTTATTTTATGTGACCTGCAATTTACGTGACCATTCTGGAATAAACTGTAAAGCAAGTGGTCATCAAATGCTACGTATAAGTGATTTTTTTAAAAATTAATATAATGAATATTTAAGTGATTGACTAACAGCTTGTTACGTTTTGATTGCAGTGGACTTATTATTCAAAATATTTCTTCAATTACCGTCAATATCACGGCATTAGTTCTATTTGGTCTACACGATATTGTTTTGAAGCAGAAATAGGAGAGTCCTGTTGAGGTCGTCCACTGGTCTTTGAGGCCCTGAACGTGACGGATAGTTGTCCAATTTCGTGGATTTTCGGCCATTCTGTCAGCGCGCAGCGGCCGATCGGGGGTCGGCGGCGACCGGCCCTCCCCCACCGGGCGCGTGCGTGGCGAGGGGGCGGCGACGGTGGTCGCGGGGGGGCCCGCACAAAGGACCCCCTCCCCCGTGGGCCCAGGGCGCGCCGCCGCGTCGCCCCGCGCGGGCCCCCGGGCGCATTCGCGACATGAGCGGGACCTCGCTGGCTGCGCCGCCGCCCTTCGGGCCGGGCCCCGCGCCGCACGACGCGCCGGGCCTCGACTTCTGGACCTACCAGCCTCCGCCGCCGCCGCCGCCGCCCCCGCAGGAGCTGCACGACCACCATCTCCGCTTCCAGCAGCACTACGCGCCCGGCTACTACGCGCCGACGCACTACCCCGCGCACGCGCCGCACCTCGAGGTGGACGTGGGAGTGACGGCGGCCGTCGATCAAGGTCACGGCTTCCACAGGTAAGCGCTGCCTTTGCATCGCTCACGCTCCTCACCACTTTCGGGCACATCCGCGCCATTATATACCGTAGGTCTCATGCCATCCACACCAGATGCTATCAGCATGGATGAGGGGCAGTACATCTCACTCTTCAATACAATACTGAATACACGCAACTAGAAACTGACAAGCCAATATGCCTTACTTATCACGAAATATTCATTCTTTTCCACGAAGTTTTACTATTATACCATAAGTCGCATATCGACCACACAAAATACAACCGGCATGGACAAGGGGAAGTACATCTCACTCTTCAATTCAATACAATTTGACACTGCATTTAGGCAATTAGAATTTGACAAGACAAAATACTCTACACGTTATATTCAAAGCATCAATAATTATGTGCAATTGAAAATGGAAATTTCACTTTCATTTTGAGAGCATTGCATGTAAATCGGAAAGAGAATTTTAAAAACTGTAATATCCAAAGATGTTTACCATACCTTTCTACATAAAAAACCTTGAAACTATTATTCTTTTGAACGTTTAATATAGAGAGATCAAATGAGACTTCCTTTTAATATCACGAATGATTTAAATGTCATAAATTTGATTTAATTCTCAAGTAATTTGTAGGAGTAATGAGAAATATTATTCCCTCATAATTATAGTCGTAAGTATTACGTACTCTGTAACGACAACCTAAAGAGGAAATCTATGAGGATAAGCATTTCTTTCATAGTTCTTCATATTCATTAATTATATTCATTTCATTCATATTTCTCATTATTTATCTTGAAAGAAAGGTTATTCGAATCAGGGGTGGATTTTCCCAAAGACTGGGTGGTGGGGGGAGGGCATAAAGGTTTTTGATAAATAACAAACATATTTATTATATTGTATATTATTTTTGTAGTGAATCTATTCTACTATAGAATATTATTTTTAAATAATTACATAATTATAACATAAATATTTTAATCAATTTTGCGAAGTAAAGGAAGGTAACAAACAAAACCTCTAGGCCTTCCTGGTGGAGGTATATTCCCCGACACCCTCCCCTCCCAGATCCGCCACTGATTCGAAATCACGAAGACACAATAAGAAAAAGTAATAGGAATTGAAGCAGTATAATAGAAAGGGTATCTGTTATTTTAACGTGTAACCAATGACCTGCTACGCTTTCACTCACACACCAACACACACACATACACATACACACTCACACAAAGACCAGACACTTACGTACACACACTTACAAGAGTCTAAAGTCTTATACACTTTCTTACCTTCTTGCAAACACATACTCGCGAGGAGTATAGTCATTTTAAGTGGATGCACGCCTTTCTGGCTCTTAATATGTATGCAAGAAGACTATATATATATATATATATATATATATATATATATATATATATATATATACACATTACTGCCTAATACAGCTTCTAATGTTATATTTAGTATATTTATCTTTATGAATTATCTTAAATTCCATATATGGTTTGCTGACTATCTGTTAGCAAAACAATTTAGAGTGTGTGCTCTTTTCATCAACAAAATAAAGCTTCATTAACATGAGAAAGAGAAGAGATTCCATTCTTCTCGCTCACTACGTAGTCTAAATTTACATCTGAAAAAATTAAATTGAGTCATCAGTCAGACGTTTATTAATGCTCCACGCATTCCGGCTGCGTGCATTGCAGATACCACGAGTCGACACCAGGCGGGGGCGATTTTGAAGGCGCGGTCACCCTCGTCTCGGAGGCTCCGTGGCACCACCCCAGCCCCGAAGGAGCCGAACCGGTTTTCTCGCCCCAACCCACCCCTCCGCCGCCGCCGCCTCCACAGGCCAACACTCCGCAACTTTCTCCTCCGGCCCCAGACAATTCCTCGCCTGTTCCCGCCCCTCCTGCCACCACCGCCCCCACCACCAACGCTGCCAGCGCCCCGTACTACCCATGGATGAGGTACTCAGGTAAGCGCATTACTGAAGTTGGAATGAAGTTCATTGAAGTCTCCCGGAAAAGAGTTGTGAATGAACTGTTGGAAAAGTTTTTGCCCAGAAGAGATTTGAATGAGTGATTCATTTTTCAAAATTGAAACAAAATTTTCTGGAACAATTTCGTTTTCCTTTAAGTTCTTTAAAAAAAAGATCTGCATTTTCAACTTTCGGGCACTAACTTAAATTTTCTTTTTCATTCTTGCGTAATTTGATTCATTCGTTGCAAAATGCAAGCTTTCTCGCCTTTTCTGAAGCATAAATTGGCTCGTCTGAAACGTCGCAAATAAATAATGATGGTTTTCCTCGTCGCATGGCGAAGTATGTTGAAAGCAGTGGCGCAATATGAGAAAAGGGGGAATATCGCAATAAAGTGTTTGCATTTATCAATCACAAACGAAAATTTTTCATGTTTTATTTTTTTTATTTTCCCGAGTTTGTAAATATTTAACAAAAGCATAGACTCCTCCCCGGATGCTGAATAGTTTTTTCAAATTTTGCGCACATTGGGAATTAGTTTTTGTATTCCCATCTTTCTGGAAATGGAACAAAACCATGGATTCCACCAAGGATTCTGGTCGAAAGTTGTTTAGTTTTCTTTCAATTTCTGGGGGCATTGAAAATTAGTAACACAGATAAACAAATTTCTATGCTATAAGAATTCTTTCTATATCAAATCTAAAACTGTAACTGTTAGGTACAGCGAAAGCCACATATGATCATTCATCTGCAGTTGAAATATTGATGGAATATTTCCTGAAAGTATTAATATCAGAAAGAGGGAGGAGGACGCTTAAATACTGTCATATAGTACATTCTGACACTAACTGTACTCAGCAGTACCAAAGATTTCTTAGTTTGCTATATTTTACTGTTCCAAATGTCTGAACACAGAAAGCTTTAATGATTATCTCTGATTGACAACACAAGAATTCTTTTTTATTAATTTCTTACTTCATTACTTTCTCATTTACCATTTACATCTACGTTGCATTACCTGGATCAGTTTTGACTTCAAAACGAGGAAATCGATTAGAGAACGAATTCTATTTGTCTCTCGGTTTGTCAAACGCGTATCATAAAATTCACAAATTCTTGTGCAGAACAGAACCAAACCACGTCAAATGATTACCTTCACTCGCCGGCCATAAATACCTCATGCATCTCGACACGAAATTTTTAGGAGAACAACGTGATGGTACCACGGGCTCCAAACGTACCCGCCAGACGTACACCCGCTACCAGACGCTGGAGCTGGAGAAGGAGTTCCACTTCAACCGCTACCTGACGCGGCGGCGGCGCATCGAGATCGCGCACGCGCTCTGCCTCACCGAGCGCCAAATCAAGATCTGGTTCCAGAACCGCCGCATGAAGGCAAAGAAGGAAATGCCACTTGTAGCATCCGTTGCCTCTCCGGGAAAGGTGAGTGTCCCTTGAAAATAACCACTCGTGTGTGATGCCCTAGCTTTTGCAACTTTTTTACTCACCCAATCCACTATTAGTAAGTTTGATTTTAAGAAAGGAAATCTCATTATCTGTGCATTATTGAATATTTTTATATCCCGGAATACCTGGAGTAAATATTTCTTGCAAGGTAATTAAAGTACATTATTAATAAAGCAGTATGTATTGAATTGAAAAGAATAAAACGATACAAATTTCTCTTCATTTAGTCCATATTATATTTCATAAATCTGTTTTAAGATTCAACAAAGGATACATCGCTTTGCGTACATTTTCAGAGCAGATTTCGTAACAATAATATTGAACACTAATTCAAAAAACCAAACTTTTTGGTGAACAGATTTCGTGACGATGATATTGAACACTATATTAAAATTCAAACTTTCTGGTGAAGGATTTTGGAAGTTAAAATGTAACTATCTCCACCTATAAAATGAATGAAAATTGTTTAAATTTCTATAATTATCAAAGCCGAGATTATCACCAACGTCAAACATTTCTATAAATTGAGGCAGAGTGGACAATACGTAACTCTCGGAATTGCTGCATTGTCCAGATATCGCACTCCACTCCGTCGCCCCTCACGGAGACGTTCGGGCGGCTCGATCTGCAAGCTGCGTCGTGAGAAACTGCATGTGCCCACCAGTAACTGCCACAAAATTCCTGCAAAGTAAGTATTTGCTCCTCGCATTTACGTCTTACGTTTCTGATTAGTTCTTCGATCCTGTTCCTATTTACTTCAGTCGCGTCGTTTTAATCGTTTCCGTCGGTAGCTGTTATTCGCTATGATTTTCCTCTTTATCTGGATGTATCTTTCCTTTTGCTTTACTTTCTCAGTTACTTTACTTTCTGTGAGCATTATTGACATTAAAAGTAGTCGAGAAAAATATTTCAGTTTCAGTTTCCCCTTAATATAATTTAGAGCATATTGCATCGCCAATGAAAGGAATTTCAAATATAAACTCTTCGAGTTTCTCTTCCATATGATTTATATTTGTTGCTGAATTCGAATTTGTTGCTGATTGATTTTTTATAGTTTCAATTTCATACATTATTTTCTTTGAACTTTTGTAATTACTCGAATTTATTGAAAGATCTACGCGTTTCTTAGCTTTTTAATTTATTTTTACTATTGAATTATTTGTTATTCGTCCTAATTAATGTGATACAGTACAATTTTGCTCATTCAAAACTAGAGAAGGAAATCTAAACGTAGTATGATATAAGATTTAATTGTAAAGTTTGGCGAGACACAGTTAAACCAATAATGAAACTCGAATAAAAGAAGTGTTGCTATTTTGATTGTAAAGTTAATATTCCATTTACTACCGTTTGTTTTTGCTTTCTTTTTGTGACTAGTTAAGTTACTACCTTAAATAATTTACTTTACGGAACGGCTTTTACTTTACTTTGAAGCTAATTTAATGGTAGCTAAAGACCAATGGTATACTATGTTTCCAACCTAAGTTGATATACATTTAATTTAGCACCAGTAAATGCTCAATGTTTTGTGTCTCTTTTTCATGATTCATTAGATTGATTTCAACCTCAAACCCTTCACCCTTTTTTTACATTTCAATGAATTTTATTACGCAATATGCACTTGATGGGGAGGCCACGCGCTCTCCCATCTGAAGACTACGACGTATATTCGCAAATATAGTTTCTACTAATTCTCTATATTACCGTCATTTTTTCAGAATCTAAAATAATAAAAAAAAACGTTATAAATAACTATAAATCAACAAATAAAATTAACTTTAAATTCATCATAAATGCAAAATTGTTTGCATTTATTTGCATAATTTAACACCAAGTTGGTTGGATAGAAAAATTCGTGATTTTGTTTCTGAACATAAGTGTTATTGAAACCCATTCACAACAATTGCACTCCACTCCCAGCTGGAGCCAGAAGATTGAAGTTGAGATTGGCAGCGCCGTCCTATTTGCGCGTCGTTGCAGCGAGCCAGGGGCAGGGGGGTGGAGGGGGCGGCGACGGAGCGGCCAGCTGGCGCCGCCGCGCGGCTCGCGCCATAAATCAGACCGCGGGCGGCGGCGGCCGAGGTTCAGGGTGGCTGGCGTACCTGCGTCTTTGTAGTTTAGCTCGAACCTCTTGTCGCCGACGCTACTTCTAGGCTGGGTTGAGTTTTCCTTCTCGTTCTTGCAAAGCAAAGAGTTTACGATAATAGTCAAATTAAAAAAAAATATCAGTTGATTTCTGTCGGCTGGTTGTGTTCCGAATTTCATAGTCTTACTGCTCCTCCATTACATAATAGTAATATTTAAACGAACTCGTAATCTTTCTTTAATATATATCCCACCCCTTCCCTCGCATATTCTTGAAAGGACACATGCTCTGATTCACACATTTTGATTTAGATTCAGATTTATGCAGTCCAAAAAATCATATGTGCTCTTGCTAATCGTAAGGTACCATAGTGTCACTTTCCGGTAAATTCAACAAATATTAAAGATTTTTAATTCAGATTTAAATCAACTGGAAAAATTACGGAAAACTTAAAGAACTGTGCATTCGTCGTAATGAAGTAAGTAAATTCCGGATGAACCATACTTACAATATTTCCCAGCAGATTGTTTTCATTGTATGTTCGGCTGAGAGCGACTGACTTTCGGCGAAAACTTAACTCGGAGACACAATGTGGCTGGGGCGACAGTCGGAGAAAGTTTATTTACGAGCATCCCGTTGACCCCTAGACGGACAGGTCATAAAACTTTCCCGGTCGCGCCGCGTACCCTTTGAGCGGCCGACACAATATTTTGACTCGGCCGCTTTCTCCCGCGCCGCCCGCCCGCCCGGCCGGACTCCGCGGGCCAGGTACGCGCACAGTGGCGGCGACGCGCGCGCTCCCGCCGCACTCTTCCTGGCGCCCCGTCTGGGAGCCAGTCTCGTGTGATGCGCTCAGCATTAGTGTTTGTGTTGTCTATATGTAGTGCTCTTCCGATCGAGTGACAAGGAACTTTTCGAAAGTATTGGTAGGCTTTTTTAGTGGTGTGAAAAATTATATGCGTGTGGGTTTGTACGATAGATGCAACTTCGCCACATACGCGTGTTAGGATTCGTTTATATCGTTAAGAATATGTTGCAGTGAAGCTGTAATAGTTTAGCATTTCAAATCTACGTTGACGTTCTATTCGATAGCTTCAACTTCGCCAGTTATGATTCATTTACGTTGATAAGGATACGAGTAGCAGTGAAGCATATTTTTATTGGTGCTATTTTTTATTAAATAATTTTTATTATAATATATAGTGATTTATAGTCAAATACTGAATTACTTCCGTCACTACAGAAATAAGCCAAAGCTAAATTTGTGAATTCATGTTCCCGGCATCTTGCGAAGGGGGAGCTTAAGTCTCATGAGCCACTCCCCACTCCTCCTCCTCCTCCTCTTCTTGGGTGCGCCGTTGCATATTGTATTATCTTGTGTATTCGATGATATTCCAAGAAGTCATTCTTCATCTCTCTGTTCCTTTGCTGCATAAACAGGTGTCGTCGCCATCGAAAGGCAAGTACAGGAGGTATAAATCAATATGCAAAATTAAAATCATTACATTCATAAAAGATTCGTTTACATGTCTGTCCTAAAAAGGCATTGAATTTCTTCGGCAGGATCATAGGTTTTGTTCATTGTTGGCAAACAATCGCTCATATTGTCACACACGATAATCTATTTACTACGCGGGAAAGGTAATAACGAAATTTCGCGAAAGAGGGCTCCTTTCGGCCCGCAGGAATGATTTGAACGCTGCCCACTTTCACTCCTAGGCGCCGCACCGCGTCCGTCGCCTGGCCCGGCCTGGCCTCGCGGCGCGGCGCGGCTCGGCGCGTCCTTGGCCGCCCAACCGCCGGCGCGCAGCTGCGCGGGCCCCTCCGCGCATGCGCGCCGCGCGCCGTCGCAGCGCCGCAAGATGGCGACCGGAGGGACTGGCGCGGCGGGGCACCGCCCGCTCCGCGTCGCCCTGGCACCGAACCCCGGACGGCGCGTGGGCGCGCCCACGACTTGCTCCCGACGCTGTCCTCCTAGCCCGGAGGGCATCGCGCGACCCCCGGCAGCCCCGCAGAGGCCGTCGGAGGCACCTGGAGGTCGCCCGCAGCCGGCCGGTCATCGCCCGCGGCCGCGCGATATCCGACGAAAATGGCGGCGCCCTATCGCTTGGTAACGGTAATGTATATCCGCGCGCGTCGGCGGCGCTGAAGCGACGCCCGAGGCAGCGCGACTGCACTCATGGCATGTTTACTTGTTTACGTATACTTCTTCGAGCAGATAGGACGTTTTTCTGAATTCCGTCGGTGCATTATTACGCCGGCTTGGGCTCAGCACGCACCAGGTCACGTTAAATTCAATAATATGATATTCAAAATTATTTCTTGATTAAATAATGCACTTTTATTAGACCTGTGCGCTGGCTTTGTAATATTCGAGAGTTAAATTGCATTGCAGTATTTTATGCAGTCAAAAATAGGTTACTGTGATTATAATTGCATTATTCAATAATACAAGAGCTATTACTGGTGGAATAATTATTATGCTTGAAAATAACTTGCTAATATTGTATTAGGTTTTGGTAGCTGGCAAGTACAATGCCTACAATAAGTTCCTATTTTCTCTCAGGAATTAGACAGTAAGTGTTAATATTAAGAATTTCTAAATCTAAGGGTTGTAATAATGAAATTTATGAGTAATATACCGTGTGTTTTCAGAGGTGTATAAATGTCAACAAATGGATGTATAGTTGAATTAAGAAGGCAAAATATGTCCAGTTAATTCAACCAATAATTATGGATTATTGTGAGTTCGTTTATGTTATTATGAGGTTAGCAATTGAATTGTAAAACTATCAGGATATAGCCTAGTCAAATGGTAATGCTTTCCTCCTTGATATAAAGAAATCTTTCAAGTGTTTTCCATTAAAGAAACTTTCAATCATCTAGTCATAAAAGGGTACTTTTAATGCTATAGGAATATTATGCATTACAGTATTAGTAATTGAAAATATTGTAATACTAATAATTTCATAAGAAAACATTTTCCTTTACAGTAATTGTAAGAAGATACTTTAATGTATAATAATTTATACATAATATTTCATTTCCTTTAATTCTTAAAATTATAATAATGAAGCTGACTTCTTATCAAGAAAGCTTTCTCATATTATTGTTCATTATAGCAAAATGAAGTCAAAAGCTGTGTGCATGAATGTGTTTTTGTAAAATTAATGATTCTACAACTTGTATAAGTGAAAGTTAAGCTATTTGGAAAAATAATATTCCCTCTTTTGCTTGAAAATGTATGTCATTTTAGTCATCTATTTTTCATATATATATATATTTCTTTGATACCTAAAATTAATATCAAATCGTTCATTTAATATAAGCAAATGCGGCCATTTCAATCAGTCTCAGAAATGCTCTAAGAATATCATATGAAATAGATATATGAATCATAATACTGCCCAAAACTTACCAGATAAAAATGCTTCTCTCAACCAAGATGTCAAAAAGAGATTAACTTTTGACAAGAGATTTTCGTATTGATAATGTTTTAAATTGCCTTAAATGTATTTGTACGAGCGTGAACTAAGCGTTGCTTGGCTGTGTACGGTGAAAAATAAATCTTCTATGGCATGTGAATTCCTACATTTGCCTAAATCTGATTTGAAAGTTAAGAATGTTTTGAGTAAAATTATGTTTACATTTAAGTTGAAGCTCTCAATATCATTAAATTAGTTTTCATTAGATTCAATATTTTCAGAAACAAAAAAGAAAGTAAACAATTACGGCGAGGTAAATATATAATATAAGAATTTCAATTGACCTTTTCTTCCTATTCAGAGCTTGTTTGAATCAATTTATATTTTCATTCGTACACACTAAAAATTCTCTATCGAAACTCTGAAATATTAAAGATTTACTTTTTATTATAAAAGTATGTGCTGGAACAAAAATAATGTAAAATATTGACATTTCATCGTGCCATTAATACTGACCAGAATCAGTCTTCTTTAATAAATTTGAATAGAGAAGCTTGGTTTTGTATTATCTATGTTAGAGTGGTTTTGGAGGTTTAATAGTTGTATAATACATTACCAGAATATTTTATTTTGATTGTTTGCTTTGTCTTTCAAAATGTACATTTCTACAGATTTGTTTGTGAAAAAGGTTTTGAATGTACTGTACCTAAATCAAATGTATTTTTTAGGGTAAATCTTCTTCGTGTTCTTGTCTTCCTATGTACTTCAAATTATCAAAGTTCCTAAAAATATTTATAAATATATTTTCGTATTAGAGTTTTGTATTTTTATGACAATAAAATTCAAAATAATGGTAATCATGTGTTTCAGTGTAGAAGTTTCTTCCATTAATCATCTCATTTATAGACTTTTTAGGAAATCATAAATTGGCTCTAGTTTCGGCAAAACTGAGATGCATGCATGTGAAGACAATCTGTGAACTGTCTATGATTTGCGTATTATATTATATTATATTAGTTTATTGGTGAGGTATTGTTGGTAATCCAAATGTACTTGAACAAAGGTATTGTCAGTAGCAACATTTTCTTTCCAAAGAAAGAAAGAAAATGTTGTTTCTGACAACACTTTTGCTACCACACTGCTATTCATTTCATTGTTATTTATTTCATTATATTCAAACTATATATTTCACTGCTAATATAATCAAGGAAAATGTTGGTAATGATAATCTTTCTCTAATCTCCGACAATCAATCTCTATATCTTTTAATCAGTTGTAGTATAAGTATTAAATAGTATTTTCGAAAAGTAATCTCAACCGATTACAAATATTTTCTCAAAGCTGTGAATTTTATTTCATATAATTATTATTTAATTTCAATTATATTAATATTTAATAAATCTTAATTATGTTTTAAAATATTGGAAAGGGATAATAAAATAAAGGGTAAATATGGGAAAGGCAAAGATTATGCTTGTAATGTCATTGTTAGATGTAATTGATTTTTTTAAATAGGCCAAATTCTCCAAAATCTCCGTCTAAACACATCTTGTCACAATTCTCTTAAAATCACGTCACGTTCCGTTGGCTCCAGTGTTTACATCAACAAAGGATATTAGTCAAAATATCTGAGGAATGTGTCCTCTTTTGTCAACAATCTGTGCGCCTGTAGGACAGTTTAGAAATCTCGCCTATTCAAAAATATTTATTTTTGGAAGATGAAAAACCTCTTATGTCTAATTTGTTTTATTAAAGAGCTCATAATAATTGTAGCATCATCCAGTAATAATAATAATAATAATAATAATAATAATAATAATATTAATTAAGATGGGTGCATTTATTCTAAATTCTAGTTATGTGGTATTAGTTTGCATTATCTCCTATAAAATTTGTCTTAGTGCACTTACGTGCCTGTTAAAAGAAACAGTCGATTTTCTGCACTTACACAAAAACTATTTTCTCGATCCGTAAGTGGAAATCTGTCGCAGCGAGAAGTGAATCACATCCATTAACAAAGTTTCTCTTGTGCACGTCTTCAACAGCCCTCAGTCGCCCGCTGACGAACTTCCCCGTCCAAGCCCCCCCCCCCCCCCATGAAACGTGATGACGCACCGTATTGTTCGGCACTATTAGGAGCGCGCAGATAAGCCGCGAGCCGAATTCGATTCGGAGGGCAGATCAAGGCTCAAAGGAAGCTGTGTCCCACGCACACTAAATCCTCGCCACTCAAAATGGCGCCCCGGGAACGTCACAGGCGGCGAGCCTGGGTTCCCTTTGGATCTCCCTGTCGACCCCCCCGTCCCCCCGCCGCCACAATTGAATCATCGAGCGACAGGTTCCTCTCACGCGCCCGCCCCCGCCCCCCGCCGCCTCCCCCTCGCCCCCGCCACGCCGCCCCCGCGCCGCGCGGCCGTCCACCCGTCGGTCCGTCCGTCCGTCCGGCGCGCCGGCCTGCCAACCCACCGTCTGATTATATGCCCCGACAACTTTCAAAAGTACATTATCCATCTTGTATTTGAAGGCCAGAGCAATTCATCATGGCTAGCCGTAGCCGCCACTCGCTGGGCGGGCGGTGGTGGGTCGGCGGAGGTGTGGGAGCCCCCGGGCACCGCCGCAGCCCTCGCGAAGACGGGGGTGGGATGTTGCCACGTCGCTCAGACGGGCAGCTGAGTGATAAATAGCGTGCGAGCAAGTTGCCCGCCATTACGGGATGGTGAACCCCGCCGCCGCTGACGCACAGTGGCCGAAAATACGATTCAAGATGCGCCCCACAGTCGCGCCCCACTCGTGCGATTCCCAACTGTGCCTCCTTCGTCAATGTTAACATCATTTTAATGTCTGATGTTTGCGGACAAAAATATGTCAAGTGCATTCATGATACTGTAATACTTTTTTTCTCTTTGTAGAAAGGAAAAGTATTTTTTATACGGCATTGTTATAATGGACAAACTTAAATGCAAAGCAGAATGGAGTAAAAAGTAGTTCCTTTGTACGACAAGATATCCAGCTCCGTGGACAAATAATAAAAGAAAGTTATTTTTATTTACATTACTATGTTTACATTATTATTTTTACACAGCTCATCATTCATATTCAAACCAGCGAAGGAAGCAATTTTAATATCTTTCATTGGTTTCGTTGAAGAGTAATACTCATATTAACCGTCTCTTAATCTCTGGCTATATGTAGCGTTTATAACTGTTTACAGCCAAAATATGTCAAGAGCATACATGATCCTTTTATACATTTTTATCTCTAGAAAAGGAAAGTAATTTTTATCTATCATTGTTATTTTGAACAGACACAAATGCGTAAGAAAATGGAGCAAAAAGTAGTGTCTCTCGTTGTATGACGTGATCTCTAGCTCAGTAACAAATAATAGGACAAAGTGAAAATTTCTCTTGGGCTCGATTATATAATCTAATGTTTGTGCCATATTTAAGTTAGGTGATGTTGCAATTTTAATCTCTTTAATTAGTTCCGTTAAAGAAACACTAAAACCCCATAAATCGCTACCAGTTTTGTAGAATTTCTGTCGCATTCCATCGGATGAGGCGTCAGGGAAGCATGCAGGCACAAAGCCTCAGACGGAATGAAGGAAGCATGTATTTCCGAGTCGAAACCGCGTGGTCGCCCACTGTGCTTGCCGTCGCCTTCGGCCTCGCTGTCCGAATTTCCACCTCGCG